GTGGGATTGTGGCAGTGCAAAAGAAAGTTGGACTAGTTGGAAAGTTTAAGTTATCTTTTTTTCTTATCTTATTCTAAGTCAATGTGAATGGCACCTTGTATGTACAGTGAAAGTACACTTTTCACTGTATTTTTACATTGATTTACATGTGACAATAAACAATTAAATTCAATTAAAATGGCAAAATAGATATGGAATTAGCTCATGGTTATTTTTCTGACTGGTATGAAATTTGTTGTGTTCATACAGTTTTTGGTACATCTCAATAATTTGAACATTAAAAGACAAAATATGAAACTAAGAAATATAATAAACAATCAGGCAGATAGTAGCAGCTTTGGGAGGGCTTAGATATACCAATGAAATGAGCAGACACATGGCAGATGAAATTCAATGCAGGGCAGTGTGAAGTTTTGCCTTATAAGGGGTGTGTATTATGGATTAGTTTGTGGGATCAAGGGAAGGATTCCTTTTCCTCTTGCCACAGCACAAAGCACTTAACTACTGGACCTGGCCACTCAGTTTATGGACTCCTTGTAAAATTGTGTCACCTAGTTAATATTTCTTCATTTGAGGAGGAGGAATGAGGCAAAATGCTCTTCTCCTTGCAATCTGATCCAAAAACTCCCTTTTCATGATCCAGACCTCTGCCACACTGACACTATTAAAACCCAAACCATCTTTGCAAACTAAATCCCCCATATTCAAATACCTCTGTGATGTGATCTCCCACACAATTTGATTCCTTTTGATCCAGTCCTCCAATGATCTGATACTGATCACTCTGATCTTTTCCTCCATAAGCACACAGGTGCTTCTCATGGATTCTCAACCTCCACCCACATTTCCTTTGATCGACAAAGTGCAGGAAGCTTCAATGCTCATCTTTATCACACTGGTTGTAATGTAAACGGTGTGCAACATCTTGAAACTGCTGCAATACCATCACTCATGAAGGTGAGCCCTCCCGTATTTCTGGGCAGGAAAGTGAGACGGAACTTCCAAATGGTTCCATGTTGCTGCCTGCCTTATGGCAATATCAGAACAGTGACTGTTATAAAAAGTTGCCCTGTAGGTTGAATTTTGTGGAGTATAGAATCATTCTTCCATAAGAGCACAATGACAGCTGCATGGCAAGAGACAACTGAGGTAACCCTAGCTGCATATGAATCAGAGAAATGGCAAAAATAACTGCTCTCTTCAATTGTGGTCATGTTTTGTTTTGTGAAGCCTTTATCACAAGCTTAAATTGAGATCCCCAATACAAGTATAATACTCTAATTAAAGATTAGTTTGAGACCCCACTTGAAGCACTAAAGACAACCATTGCCTTTTTGAAGGCATTATCTTCTTGAGTGCTGAATGAAACAATTTTCTTGAAAATGGGGATGATACAACAGCAGTGTCCAGGTCAAAATTCCTCTCTACAATTAATATATTTCTCAATGAAACACCGTTCATCCCATTTAGAATTATATAAGTATGTCTGTTCCCTGAGAATAGCCACTGACGTATATTATATGATGTTTCTGTGGTTAGACACCACCTGAATGTTCACTGTGCACAAACCTTTTTCCATCATAAAGGCCTTGAGAATATCATAAAGAGCCTAAAGACTTGAAATTCCATTCAGTAAATCAATGCACTGAAGAGAAACTTCTGTTGGTGAAAACTCATTTCTTCCACAGCTGTGGCCATTTACAAATATGAAGGATTGCTCCTTTGATGTATGTGCATGTTTGCACTTGCGAATGTGTACATGAGAACTGTGTGTATCTCTATGCATGTGCGTACATACACATGTGCAGATATGTACACATGTATGCATGTTGGAGATTCTGATACAACACTGAAACGGACTGACAAAAAGCTACATGAAAGTGCTGTGGACAAAACAAACTATTCTTAGAAATTTGCACAAAGAACAAGCATGCTGATAGCTCCTACTCAAAAATAAGAATGCTGTAATGACTATTGACAAACTCGTCATAAAAATATTAAACATTCTTGTTCCTGTACATTATTTCAAAGAAAGACTTGTAGTTACTTGTATCGCCTGTATTAACATAACAGAGTGAGGAACTTGGCATGTTTTTACAGGGTCAAAACCAGCACTAATTTCCAACCTGCAATTTGTACAGTGTCCCGTAACTTTGTAGCAGAGTGCCATGGAGTAGCTGCCAGCAAAACAGAAACTTGCTTTTCAACTGGTTTGCAAATTTGCATATAGTATTAGGACAACTTATTCAATTCCATTCAGATGCCTTGGCAGGCACAGTGACCTTTTATTTATTATTGAGGACAATTTTATTTGAGCAGGTTAGCCCTTATGTGGACTGCATAGGACATAATAAATACTAATGAACCAGACAGTGTTCAAATTAGTCGGGATATTAGAATTTTATTTTTCTGAAGCTTTTATTGAAAACATTTAGAATACCATAAAAGCGCTTCTAAAACAACAAGCTGGCAATTATGCAAAAAAGAAAGTCCAGGAATTCACTGTCCAGGGGCTTTGTGCATAAGGTTGCGCTGTGATCTCAGTAATCATTACTGGATCATGTTGTGATCTCAGTAATCATTACTGGATCATGTTGTGATCTCAGTAATCATTACTGGATCGTCTTGTGATCTCAGCAATTGTCACTGGATCATGCCCACTGACATCAACACAAACCAAGTTGTCTGAGCACCTTATTCCAAGTAGGCTGGTGGGCAACCATCACATATAGCTGGGGGAGGGAGGGTGGAATATTTTCATGATTTTGCTCTTCCTGAGACTTTAGCTTACGTCAGGGGGAGAGGATGTAATCAATTTTGAACAAAAATTGTCTCACCTGCTTGGCCAGGATACCCCATTTTTGTATATCCCATAAGTTCATATAGAAACTGATACACCTCAACTCACTGTGCGTTGCTTGCTCCCAGAATGCCACATCTCAACGGCTAAGGAACGACGTGGTCTTCAAATAGAAAGGCCGTGCCCCCGTAAAGGCAATCAGGGACTCTAGGAATCTTTGAAAATCTGGCACAAATAGGTCGCTACTATTTTTGTGTGCATTTTATCACAATAATGGGAACTGTTAAAGTATCTCCTAGCTGTTTAGCTGATTTAAGCATTTCCAGAAAGAGTCATCTAAACTTGGAGTTTAGATTGCAATACAGAAGTAAGCCATGGTGCCCTTTAAATCTGTGCTGGCTCATTGCTAAAGCATTTTGAAACTCATCTCACTCCCTTCTTCTCCCACTGTTACCTATTTTCTTTTGTTAATAACATTTATATTGTTTTCCCTTAATGTGTAATCATCCTGGCTCAAACACTCCCCTAGGCGAAGCTTTCCCTTTGAAAGACCAAAACAAAGAAAACAACACAGTTGTCCATTGTTCAGCTCCATTAATGCTGTATCATTTTCTGGATTTTAGAATTAAAGACAGAGAAGAATAAGCAAAATATGCCAGATGACAATACATCAGCATGAGCTGGTAGAGTGATGGAAAAATAGAGGAGTTTGTAATGGTGTGAGTTAGGAACAGCGAGAGGATATGATAGAGGAGATGGATTTCAAAAAGGAAAGTGCTGAATCAACCTCATTTAGTTCTTTGAAGAGGTAATCAACAAAATGGTAATATGGTAGATGCCAAACATTTCTATTTCCAACATGCATTCCATAATGTGCAAAAGAATGGAATAATGAATAAGATCAGGACATAATGAATCAGGGGACAAGTGGAAGATTGGATAGATAGTTGGTTGAAATATATAAAGCAGAGGATAGCTGTAAAGAGCAGTGATCTAGATTAGCAGAGGGTGAGATTTGAGGTTCCGCAACAATTGATCCTGGGGCTACAGCTGTTCACAATTTATATTAATTATTTACACTTTGGAATCGAACCTATAATTTCTGAATTTTTGGATGAAACCAAATTGGAAGTGTAAAGAAAATAAACTTGCCAACAGGACATATATTGTCAAATGAATTTCATTACAGATAAATGTGAACTATTACATTTTGGTTAGAAAGATAAGGAAGTCACACAGTATGAGAATGGGTTGCATAAAATCTAAATAAGGCACAGGAGCAAAGGAGAACAAATACACAAATCACAAAATTGCAATGCAAGCTATTAAGATCTTAACATAAATAAACCCAGCACTAGTGTTCAATTCTAAAGGGAGAGCATTAAAAAGTGGAGAATTAATGTAAAACTTTTACCAGCCTTCTGTGAGACCACACTTGGAATACTTTGCACATTCTCCTCGCTCTGTTATAAAAAAGGTGCAGAGGCATGGGAGAGAATGCAATCAAGATTTACAAGGATGGTGAAAGACCTGTAAAGTTATTGCTATCAGGAGAGGCTGGACAGATTCAGCCTTTTTTTTGTGTGTGAAACTAAAAGGCTGAAGGGTAATCTAATAAAGATCTTCAAATAATTTTGACACAGTAGATGCAAGAAAGAATATTTCTACTTATTGTAAAGAGACATACTAGCAATCATCACTATGACAGACAGTCACCAATAAATTATTTCGAGAATGCAAATCAAATGATAGTAGATGTTTGTGCTTCAAGAATATTGCAGAAATAATCGCTTGACAGTTTAGAAAGCACATTACAATGCAACTCCAAATAGTCATTCGCACATAACAAGTCAAGATCTGAAAGGTTAGCAAAAGGTAATAGTAACTCCAAAAGCTGAAAGTAATACTGGATTCTAGTATGGGACCAATTTACTTACTATGACTGCATACGACAGTGAAATTCACGCTTAACTGCAAGGTAAACAAAATAATTACTTTACTAAATCTACTCTGTCATAAATCAGGCAACGGCAGTCAAAAATACCTTTGGATTCCATGAGAAGTGCTTTGAAAGTTGTAAGGTGGGATTAGCCTTAACCCGAGTCTTACCCTTGATGTAATGGAGACATAGCCAACATATTTCGTGGACAAATACAACTTAGATTTCTTTTCATTTACTGAATATTTAAGGTGTACTTACTGGGGACGTAGAGATGATTCTTGTTGCTTGTTGCAATTGCTGCAAAGTTTTGATCAGCTGTGTCTCAGAGAGTGATAGAGGAGTCTTTGATTGACATCTTGTGTCCATTCTCCTGAAGCATGTTGATGAACAGTGATGGTGAAGACAGCAACAGTGGTGACAGTGGTGACAGTAGGCTGGAGAGATCGAAATTGGCTCCTGAACAATCTTCTCAACATCATGCAGTCCAGTATCCAATGACACTGACTTTGTGAGCAGTCCACCAAATTGAGATTCCATTGCAAGTAAATTTGGGTTCTTCACTTGGCCATGTTGATTTCTTTCAGTGGTACACTCCCCGGTGTTTTCATCAGTCTGCACTACAGCATCTCTCAATTTGATTCTGCTTTCTCTGTGCATGTTCTCATGCTGGAAAACATGTTTGTTTGGCTGAAATGAAAGTGGTTCTAAAGAATGAAATGCAATGATGTTTCTTTGTTGCAATTTGTCTTGGGGAATTTGGAAAGTTACTAATTTGCTTGTACCAGCAAAATGTTCTGGAACAAGGTTAGAGTTCTCTCGATTTGTATTCAAGTTGCTCACAATTGTTGCATTATTCTCCTCAGAGTTATCACCCTGACAGCCTCCAGCATTGTTTTGAACCTGGATCTCATTACTCAGCCAAGTATTGGTATTAAGAGCTGGACAGTGGTTTGTGTTCTCGAGAGTAGTTGTGTGTGAACAGCTGCTACCACCAGTTAAGCCACTCATGTCCTCAACGGTTTTTACAGCACATGGAGATCCCATCCTTTGCTGATTAGAGAAAGTAGGAGAATGGCTGTTGAGGTTTTCCACTGTAAATGTCTTCTCTTCTTGTAAAGCACATGACATGATGCATGTTTCTGCACACTGTGTCTGATCACTGTCGACTGAACCAGGGATACAGGTTGGATTGGGAAAGTCGCCTGTTGCTTGTTCAGCATTTGAGCACTGGGATGACCACTGCCTGTTTTCTTGGAATGTGTCACTAACATCCCGCAGTGTACATTGAATCTGAAAATGGTCAACGAACATTAGGTACTGTATAGACGATGAATCCCAAGGTCATATTTTCAAGGTGGGATTGGGAACCTGACTAGCAACTAAATTTCAGGGCCCTTCCCCACACGAACTATATTGATCTTTCAATCCTATTTTGAAATGTGTATTAGTTGATTATATGGGAGACAAACTTGGTGTCCAATTAGAAGCCTAGAGTGCCACCAGAAAGCTGGGGTTGCCCACTGCTGGTCTCATACCAACAGAAAAGCCAGGCAGCAGCAATATTTAACCATTAACTGGCAGCAGGTGGAGTTCTCATTCCCTCCCTGCTGCAACCACTCTGAAAATTTGGAAATCGGACTGAAGACACTGGGAGCCTGCAATTTTCAAATTATGCCGATACCTTCTTCCATCTCAACCAGAAACTGAAAAGCCAGCCCCAAGTATCTGTTTTAAACAGTTTTAACAGCCTAAGTGCCCACAAATATCAGGACCTTGTGTGCAAATTTGCTGCTGCATATCCTTACATTCATTGGCTGTGAAGTACCCTTGGACAGCCTGAGCTAGTGAAATGTTCTGTAACGATCTTTATTCTTTAACTGTGAGAGGAATGAGAAGGATTTGATCTGAGCTTCGAAGTGATCATAACAGCTACTTCAGCTATCAAAAAGCAGACAGGGCCTCAGTTATTTTCTGATCCAAGAAAGAGTATTTGTTATAATTCAGCAAAAAAGCAATTCACAACAAAAGTGTCAGGCATTACATTATTGGGGTCAAGTCATATTCAGGTCGGTAAACTGTAATTAGTGAGTGAAACAAGGTCACTGTTGGAGACAGTGTTGAAATATTTACAATCTATATCAATGATTTTGATGATGGAACCAAGTGTATTGTAGCCAAACTTGTGAATAAACCAAGATAAGTGAGAAATAAGTGAGGATGACTAAGAGTCTGTACAGGAAGAGAAAGATGAAAAAATACTATGGTACAGAGCGTCATAGAGATAAACAAAATAGAAACAGGCCATTTGGCCCACCATGTCTATGCTGGCCAATAAAGACCAACTACACTAATCCCATTTATGTACACTTGGTCCATAGCTTAAAATGCCCTGGTATTTTAAATGCTCATTCCAGATGCATCTTAATATTGCGAGAGTCCCTGCCTCCACCACCCTTTCTGACAGCCGTCCATATTTCTACTAACCTTTCGGTGAATTTTTTTTCTCTCGGATCCCCTCAAAATCAGATACTCCTCACCTTACACTTTTGCCCTCTGGTCTTAGAAACATTTGCCATGGGGAAAAGATTCTAACCATCTTCTCCATCTATGCCTCTCATAATGAGACCTCTTCAGCCTCCTATGCTCCAGGCAATACAACCCAGCCTATCCAGTCTCTCCTCATCACTGAGATTTTCCATCCCAGGCAACATCCTTGTAAATCTCCTCTGCACCCTCCTCAGCACAATCACATCTTTCTGATAGTGTGGTGACCAGAACAGCACACAGCATTCCATCTGTGGCCTAAACAATGTTTTGTAAAGTTGTAACAAGACTCCCTTGCTCCTATATTTTATGCCCTGGTTTATGAAGGCAAGCATTCTGTATGCCCTCTTCACCAGCCTGTCTACCTTTGCTGACACCTTCAGGGATCTATTGACTTGTACACCAATGTCCCCTTGTTCCTCATTCTGTCCAACCTTGCCTTATAAAAGATAACCAATCCATTCCAGGTATTAGTCTAGTAAACCTTCACTGAACTGCATCTTTCATTTACAGCCCTCCATAAATCAGGAGACCAGTACTGGGTACACAATATTCCAAATGTGGTCTTACCAATGGCGTGTATGACTGAAGCATAACCTCCCTAATTTTGTATTCAATTCTCCTTGCCATACTCTATTAACTGTCCTAATTACTTGCTGTAACTATATTCTAACATTTTGTGATTCATGCACCAAGGCATCCAGATATTTCTGCATTTCATACATCACTGAATACAACTACAAAGTGTTATTGCCAGGTAATTGCAATGTCTAATACTTCAAGTGTTCACCAGTTTATAAATATTTTAGTGGCACTTACTACAAGTTGGAGAAATATTTGCATTATGAATAGAAAAATTCTCAAATGAAGGGATCAGATTTATTAATTTGACCTTAACTTTCTGTCCCTCTTTCAAGCCTTTGTTAGTTCCAGATATACCTAGTCCAAAATATTGTTGGGTGGTCTTTTACTCTCTGGAAACTTCAAGTCACCCAAAACTTGCAGCAAGTCTTAAGTCCTTGTCTTTCTGACCAATGTTGGCTCCTGGTCGAGCAATTTGATCTTTAATAATCTTATCCTTGTTTTCATATTTGTACATGGCTTTGCTCTTTCCTATCTCCTCCTGTCATAGAAATCTCTGCACGCCTCGAAATCTGGCCTCTGTCATGTTCAGAACTTAATCGCTCCACACTCTCTGTTGCCTGGGCCTCAAGCTCTAGAACTTCTCCCTTTTAAATTTCTGCCTCTCTAACTTTTCTCCCCTTTGGAAATTCCTTAAACCCTAGCTTTGGCTTGGACCAAACATTTGGTCAGCTGACTGAATGTCTCCTGAATTGTTTCAATGTCCTGAATTGTTTTTGTGAGGCTTTTGCGAGGCACCTTGCAAAGTCTTACTGTCTTAAAGGTACTATACAAATAAAAATTGTTTTTATTGTTTGTCATTTTCAAACTCTCCATGGCATGACAATAGGATGTTAAGGTCAGGTAATGACTTCAGGTGTATTAGATTTAAAAGGAGCATGAAATTATAATTACATCTCCACTGTAAAATATTTGATTTTGCAGTCTTCAGGGCAGTAAAGCTTTTAAGATACTGATGCACTGGAGTGCCCTCACAGGCAAGAATGATGTAATTACTGCATGGCAAATTTACACAGGCAGGTTTCAATATGAATATTGAAACATCATAGATTATATTTGAGAAAAATGTTGACTCAAAAAAATCACAGTTCCTAATGTAAGATTTTTTTAGAAAATGTCTTAACTTTTTTTAAAAACTTGATTGAACTACATGTTTCTATACAAGTTATTTTCTAAAGTAGCCTAGACTTTATCTTATGTAACCAACCTGCTTACTGGGAGTGATTGGGATTTGGAAAGCAACGTGTAAAGTTGAAAATGAGAAGGAAGGACTGTTGGAAGCTACAAAATAAGTTGCGTATGATTTTATAAGGAGACACCATAGACTCCAGTCACCTCATCAATGAATTAACTTAGCAGGAAACAAAGTCCCTGAGTCATGAAATTATTGATAGGGTCAAATTCTGAGAATAATGAAGGGAGTAAAGAAGAAAAGAAGGATGTATGCTAGATAAGACAATGCACTCACTTATTACCAATGATTGAGTTATAAAAAATAGGGAGATTTGAATAAAACACACAGAGGGATTTGATGAAAAAAAAAAATCATGTACCTGTAACGGGACGAATGGCTCCTCCAGAAACCCACTACTGTCTGACTGAGAACTATTTTCTCTTTTCACATCTGTTACAAAAAGAAGAATGTTTAGCATGATATGATAATCATCCAATTGTTACCACAGAAAAAAAAATGGCAGTTGTCTATCATCTTTCATCTCAGAATGTTCCAAAGTGTTTCACAGATAACGCATTTTTTAAAAAAATTCCGGTAATTTGTAATGTGGGCAGAAAGGGGAGGCAATGTTTTTAGTGAGGGATTATAAGTGAGGTGTTACAAGTTGTGTAAGCATGGTGTTTTTTGAAGGATAAATATTGGACAGCAGAGTAAGAGCACTCTGTTGATCTTTAATTATGCCTCAAAAGCTTTTATACTCATTTGAGAAGTTTGGTAACGAACTCAATCTAACAATTCAACTTAAATATGGGACCACAGACAATATAAAACAATAATCCCTCAGTCAACATAAGTTATGAAGTACAGGCCCAAAACAAAATTTCCACCTTCTAATGTAGAGGTGCTACTGTTGAGCCAAGTGTGACACAGAGAATGTGGTGTTGACAACAACTGGAACATATTTAAATGGAATATTTGCACCTCTTCTGTAGCTGAATAGGCATGTGATTGATAAAATGCCCCAAATGATTAAGCAGTGGCTCCCTCCTCAAAATGTGTACACTACACTGAGTACTGTGCAATTCTAGTCACCAAATTATAAATAGAACACAAAGATACAGAATGGGTGTAGGGATTACCAAGGATGACACTAGAAATGCATGCAAGCACAAATCAGGAAACGGTTGACAGGCTAGATTGTTTTTCTCTAGGGAAAAGACATGTATGAGCAGTGAGGTCTTTACAAGTATGACGCTATTGGCGGAGTAGATGCAGGGAGAATGTGGGAAGAGCATAACTAGACCTCAATGAGATGAGATAGTTACCAGGTAAATTGACAGGGAATTCAGAAGAAACTTCTTTCCCCAAAGAGTGGTTAGAATGTGGGACTTGCTACCACAGGGTGTAGTTAACATGTATTTAAGGAGAAGTTGGACAAGCATGTGAAAGAGAATAGATGACTAAATGGTAGATTTTGATTTGAAAAGATGGGAGGGGAGAATAGAGCCCTGTATGGACTCATTGCGCCAAATGACTGGTTTCTGTCTCATATCTCCTATGTAATTCTATATAATAGCCCCATAAATGCACCCCCATACACTAAGGTTTGTTGAATTAAAAGACCTTCACTATCAAAGGTAATGGCATTTTCTTTGTACAGGTACTAAGTAAATGTAGAATGATCCTGCACAACTTGCAGAGTTAGTGCAATGACGAGCAGGCAGGCAGTAGGATAGGGATTGCACAGCATTTATACTCCTCTGTTGGAGTGATGAGCCAACACACATCAGACAGCTGTTGACACTAGGAGATTTCAATATCTGAGCACGTATAACATCTGCTGAAACACACAGTGTAAAAGTCAGATACAAATTCTAAATGTCAAATGTAATTGTGGAATGAAATTTTAATTTCAACCACAGATTGCAAGCACTAAACATTAGTCTCACATATGCTGCAGTTATCTGTTTTAGGTAAATTCATTATGAATCTAGATGTGGATAGCTTACTTTCTTAATTGAACCTGTCTGAATTCTAGTTTGCTATTTTTTTGTCCATGTATGCATTTGAAAAATTCTGGCCTCCTTAGACAATCACACAGCATCTACATTCACATCATCTTCTTGATTTCTTCATGAAGGCCTATTAGTTAAAACAACGAAGCTGGCAAAGCTCCCTGGGTACATGATCCACATGTTCATTGCTAACATACTGAGGACTATCAGCTTGAATTTCCGCTTGCCTGGAAAGGTGCAGCTCCAGAAGCTGGAAGAGGCAGTGGCCGAGTGGTATCATTGTTAGACTATTAATCCATAAACTCAGCTAATGTTCTGGGGACCCAGGTTTGAATCTCACAATGGCAGATGCTGAAATTTGAATTCAAGAAAAAGAATCTGGAATTAAGAATCTACTGATGACCATGAAACCATTGTCGATTGTCAGAAAACCCAATTTGGCTCACTCTAATGTCCTCACTTGGTCTGGCCCACATGTGACTCCAGACCCACAGGAATGTGGTTGACTCTCAACTACCCTCTGAAATGGTCTGGCAAGCTATTCAGTTCAAGGGGAGTTAGGGATGGGCAATAAATGCTAGCCAGATAGCAATGTTCATGTCCCATGAGTGAATGAATAATATCACCCATTCGGTTCACAAACGCCCTTTAGGGAAAGAAACTGCCATCTCTACCTGGCCTGGCCTACCTGTCAAACCCACAGCAAACTGGTTGACCCTCTGATATTGCCTTGTAAGGTGGTGGTACCGTGGTATTCTGTTGGTAGGGAGTTGCCCTAGGAGTCCTCAATGTAGTCCTCAACCTTATGATGCCCTCATGACATCAGGTCTAACATAGGCATGGAAACATCCTGGTGATTACCACATGCCACCACCATTTCCCCACCATCAACATCACGCCCTTCAATGTCACTGGATTAAACTCCTGCGAATCTCTCCTTAACAGCATTGTGGGTCTACTTACAGCAAATAGACTGCAATTCAAGAAGGCAGTTAACCACCACCTTCTGAAGGGCAACCAGGAATTGGCAATAAATGTTGGCACAACCATTGATGCTTGACCACATCTCATGAATGCATTAAAAAAACACTCCAAGATGAGGGAGTGGAGTTTGTCCAAGTACCAGTTCATGAATGGAATATATAACCTTGACTGCAACTCCAGGATTGAAGAATTAATTGTGGAATTTGTATAAATTGGCTTCCATGTTGCCTTCAAAATAACACCACCATACAGAGAAATAAAAAAATCCTGCTGATTGGCACCCCATCCACCACCTTAATCTAATGCAGAGTGTCAGGACTGAGGAACATCTACAAGCTGCACTGCAGTAATTCATCAATTCTCCTTTGACAACACCTTCCAAGTTCATGATCCCTACCATCTAGAACGACAAAGACTGCATGGGAGCATCACCAACTAAGATCCCTTCCAACACACACCACCCTAATTTGGAAATATATTGCCATTTTGCTGTTGGAATTCCCTTCCTAAACATTGTGTGTGTCCCTACATCACATGGACTTTAGCAGTTCAAGAAGGCAGCTCTCCACCATCTTCTCAAGGGTAAGTAGAATAACTTTTGTTTTTGTTTCTGATTTACAGCATCCGCAATTCTTTCGGTTTTAAATTATTTGTGGGCTTGTATAAGTAACGAACATGATTCCTCATCCTCAAAAATCACAACTAACTATTTGAAACAGAGATAGTAGGAACTGCAGATGCTGGAGAATCTGAGACAACAAGGTGCAGGGCTGGATGAACACAGCAGGCCAAGCAGCATCATAGGAGCTGAGAGGCTGACGTTTCGGGCCTAGACCCTTCATTAGAAAAGGGGGAGGGAAAGGGGGTTCTGAAATAAATAGGGAGAGAGTGGGAGGCGGATAGAAGAGGGATAGAGGAGAGGATAGGTGGAGAGGAAACAAACAGGTCGAAGAGGTGGGGATGGAGCCAGTAAAGGTGAGTGTAGGTAGGGAGTTAGGAAGGGGATAGGTCAGTCCAAGGAGGACGGACAGGTCAAGGGGGCGGGATGAGGTTAGTAGGTAGGAGATGGAGGTGCGGCTTGAGGTGGGAGGAGGGGATAGGTGGGAGGAAGAACAGGTTAGGGAAGCAGGGACGAGCTGGACTGGTTTTGGGATGCAGTCGGGGGAGGGGAGATTTTAAAACTTGTGAAATCCACATTGATACCATTGGGCTGCAGGGTTCCCAAGCGGAATATGAGTTGCTGTTCCTGCAACCTTCGGGTGGCATCGTTGTGGCACTGCAGGAGGCCCAGGATGGACATGTCGTCTGAGGAGTGGGAGGGGGAGTTGAAATGGTTCGCGACTGGGAGGTGCAGTTGTTTATTGCGAACTGAGCGTAGGTGTTCTGCAAAGCGGTCCCCGAGCCTCCGCTTGGTTTCCCCGATGTAGAGGCGGCCACACCGGGTACAGCGGATGCAGTATACCACATTGGCAGATGTGCAGGTGAACATCTGCTTGATGTGGAAAGTCTTCTTGGGGCCTGGGATGGGGGTGAGGGAGGAGGTGTAGGGGCAGGTGCAGCACTTCCTGCGGTTGCAGGGAAAAGTGCCGGGTGTGGTGGAGCTGGAGGGGAGTGTGGAGCGGACAAGGGAGTCACGGAGAGAGTTGTCCCTCCGGAAAGCAGATAAAGGTGGGGAGGGAAAGATGTCTTTGGTGGTGGGGTCGGATTGCAGATGGCGGAAGTGTCGGAGGATGATGCGTTGGATCCGGAGGTTGGTGGGGTGGTACGTGAGGACGAGGGGGATTCTTTTTTGGTTCTTATTGCGTGGACGGGGTGTGAGGGATGAGGTGCGGGAGATGTGGGAGACACGGTTGAGGGCGTTCTCGACCACCGAGGAGGGGAAGTTACGGTCCTTGAAAAACGAGGACAACTGAGATGTACGGGAGTGGAATGCCTCATCCTGGGAGTGGAATGCCTCATCCTGGGAGCAGATGCGGCGGAGGCGAAGGAATTGGGAATAGGGGATGGCATTTTTGCAGGAAGGTGGGTGGGAGGAGGAGTATTCTAGGTAGCTGTGGGAGTCGGTGGGCTTGAAATGAATATCGGTTTCGAGGTGGTTGCCCGATATGGAGACAGAGAGGTCCAGGAAGGGGAGAGAGGTGTTAGAGATGGTCCAGGTAAACTTAAGGTTGGGGTGGAAGGTGTTAGTGAAGTGGATGAACTGTTCGAGCTCCTCGTGGGAGCACGAGGCGGCGCCAATACAGTCATCAATGTAACGGAGGAAGAGGTGGGGATCCAACGCATCATCCTCCGACACTTCTGCCATCTGCAATCCGACCCCACCACCAAAGACATCTTTCCCTCCCCACCCTTATCTGCTTTCCGGAGGGACCACTCTCTCCGTGACTCCCTTGTCCGCTCCACACTCCCCTCCAGCTCCACCACACCCGGCACTTTTCCCTGCAACCGCAGGAAGTGCTGCACCTGCCCCTACACCTCCTCCCTCACCCCCATCCCAGGCCCCAAGAAGACTTTCCACATCAAGCAGATGTTCACCTGCACATCTGCCAATGTGGTATACTGCATCCGCTGTACCCGGTGTGGCCGCCTCTACATCGGGGAAACCAAGCGGAGGCTCGGGGACCGCTTTGCAGAACACCTACGCTGGGTTCGCAATAAACAACTGCACCTCCCAGTCGCGAGCCATTTCAACTCCCCCTCCCATTCCTCAGACGACATGTCCATCCTGGGCCTCCTGCAGTGCCACAACGATGCCACCCGAAGGTTGCAGGAACAGCACCTCATATTCCGCTTGGGAACCCTGCAGCCCAATGGTATCAATGTGGATTTCACAAGTTTCAAAATCTCCCCTCCCCCGACCGCATCCCAAAACCAGTCCAGCTCGTCCCTGCTTCCCTAACCTGTTCTTCCTCCCACCTATCCCCTCCTCCCACCTCAAGCCGCACCTCCATTTCCTACCTACTAACCTCATCCCGCCCCCTTGACCTGTCCATCCTCCCTGGACTGACCTATCCCCTCCCTACCTGCCCACCTACACTCACCTTTACTGGCTCCATCCCCGCCTCTTCGACCTGTTTGTTTCCTCTCCACCTATCTTCTCCTCTATCCATCTTCTATCCGCCTCCCACTCTCTCTCCCTAACTATTTGAAACAATTTGTCAATAGGAACCCAATCAAAACTTTTATAATTTTATCAAACTGAATCAAACTACCTGAATTTCTCTCTAGTTTTACATTTAACATGTACACATGATATGACCTTGCATTTTACACCTGGTTATTGCAGCATAAGCAAACAAGAAGTTGACATGCAAATAGTGCATTGTCTAAGAAGTAGCATGTCAGTCACTAACTTTGCAATGGAAATGAACTTTACTGAGAAACACAATAGAAAGGAAAAGATAATAAACAGGTATAAGGGACGAGGACAAATAAACACAGAGGCAGTGCTCAGCAATCACATGTTTCCTTGATGTAACAATGAATACTGTACAGATCCAATGGGTTAACATTAGATGTCATGGACACTATTATAGTCAGAATTGAACAGGTCAAATGAATTTGAATAGCAAATTAGCACTACCTTTTGCATGCAACATCACCTGTTTTGCTATTTCATCACTTCTGCTCTCTGGCTTATCACAGATGTCCATTCCCTTCCTTTTCTGCCCAGCTGACTCTAACTTTATGCTCGCTTAAAATCAATTCATCTCTAACATCTTAGTTTTTTACACAAAGGGTGGTGGGTGCCTGAAACTCGCTGCCGGGAGAGGTAGTGGAAGCAGATACTATAGTAACTTTTAAAGGGCGTCTTGACAAATACATGAATACGATGGGGATAGAGGGATACGGTCCCTGGAAGGGTAGGTCGTTTTAGTTGTGACAGGCAGCATGTCGGTGCCGGCTTAGACGGCCGAAGGGCCTACTCCTGTGCTGTAATTTTCTTTGTTCTTTGTTCTACCTTCCAATTTTGATTAAAGCTTAAAGCAATATCAAATCTTGGGCCAAGGTTTTGATGCCTGGTGGGATCAGAAGTAAGAAAGCTCCTAAATTGATGCGTTGTTGAGTTTCTGCTATGTTCCCAACCTGGGGGCATTTTCTTTTCAGGAAGAGAGTGCCCAGGAGAGGGCGATGATTACCTACCAACAAGACTCAGGCAGCCTATTAGGCCAATGAGATGGCTGATGAATGTAACTCAACAGAAGCTGACTGGTCAGGAGATGGGGCCCTGCATGAGATGGGTTATCATTGACAATGTCTTACAACTCAGTAGCTGCTGAGTCCAGGAATCTGTATAGAGATTGTCTGTCAACATCCTTAAATAATCCTAATGCAGAAAGTTCATCAAGCCCAGTCTGCAACCACTCAAGGCATCAATCTGCTGGATCCATGCACAATTGACTTTTGGTTTGATTCTTAAACTAGCGACCCTATCCTCCTGCTTTGTAATTTATCAGTGAGTGCATGAACAAACACTTCAGTGCCTTCATCAGCGAGAATTGGGAAAATTTTATGATTTTTTATTCCACTTGGGTGTTAAAGTACAATAAATACAACTCTCCATTCAAAAAAAAACTTTGCAAGAAAACCTGCACGTGTGTGTCTTTTACAGCCACAAAACGGCCAGGCTGTGGGTTTTAAAACAATCTCTGTCCTTATTCTCACCCACCTGTCTATAAGATTGTGATTTTTTTTTTCCCCTTTTGTAAACAGTGGGGGTATATCTCCCTCCGTTTGTGGGCTTTGACTTTGCAAGGACTGCAACACTCTGCAGTAATGTTAAAAATCTAAAGTAGGGTTTATTTCACAATGGCGATCAGTGGGGGTGTGGGTGAAGTAATGTTTTGCAACACAGACCATCACACAAACATGCAAGGAGAGGTTATCCAAATAGGACTAATTTAACAATAAAAGCAAACAACCATGGGCTAGCAACTTAACAACATCTTTGCTGTAAGCATTAACAGTCTAGAATTCCTTTGACAGTGGTTGGTTTGCGAGCCAAAGATTTCTGCACCACACAGACCTCAAACCTTTGGAAATGTAAAAACATGTCTCATTCTAGAGATCATGTGCTTAAACAAAATAGTGAAAGTGCTGAAAAGACTCAACTGTTCAGACAGAATCGATAGAAAAAAGCAGTGAAGTTTCCTTTATCCAGGTTTTTTAAAAATGTTTTGGGTATAAACTGCACTGACATCAGAAAATCAAGGCTATTGTCTTGATGGTTATTGCACTCAACCAACTGGAAGTGCTTTAATTCAGTTTTTTGACAAAAGGAACCCATGAACATCAACACAGGTCCTACTCTGTAAGGCTGTGCAATGATTCTACTGCAGTGGAACTTGGACCATCTACTGACATCACATTGAAAGCTTCCAGTCAACTAGTGCCTACATCAAGTCCTTGGGACTAAATGGGAGAGTTGCTGCACCTTTATAAGCATCCTCCATGAAGCTGCATTTATCAGCTTCAAAAGCCTGATCCTGAAGAACCAATGCCAGTGGATGAACCAACACCATTGGATGAACCAACACCAGTGGATGAACCATTGCGAATGGATGCCAGAAAACCATCTCCCTTGGAGGATCTGTTCTCCCAGCACTCTATTGGCCAACGCTCAAAGGGCAGCCAAAGGAAAAGGTTTATAGATACACTCAAGGTTGTCCTAAAGCAATGAGGCATTGAAACCACTGACGGAGAGGAGAAAACTGCTGGCTGTTTGGCATGGCACCTCCTAATCCTTCAAGGTGCAACTCATTTCAAAGCTCAGCAACTTGACTGTGAGGTGGAACAGAGGTGACAAAGGAAGGAGAAGAAACTCAACCTGGGCAGTGAATTCTCAATCTACCCATTGCAGATCCAAAATTTGACTTCTGTCATCTGAGGACTCATCTAACCAGACAGGCATCATCTGTTATTCTGAAGGACTGCTGTCCCTGCCATTTTATTTCAGATAGAAATGTTCAGCATCAGTTTTTAATTCAGGTTTTCTCTCTTCTTTTGCTTCCTGGTTTAGTGCTTTGCACAATTAACTAATTAAACGCCCTTTTGTTTTTAACTAGAGGGATCAGCACACATGAACTTTCCAGAAATATCCAACTAAATAGCAATTATCCTGCTAAGACCTGGTGGAGATGGTTAGAAAGAAGTTTTAGGGCAAGAGGTTGAAGGCAGATATTTGATCCTTATCATTTTCCAGCCCTTCTAACTCAGGTGAAACAGAAAATTATGAGCATAAGTAAACCTTAGGAGCAAGGTATCTATAAAACACAGAAGTGCCTCATTTTCCCAGCTGGAAGAACAGCAGCTGTAGGAAAAAAAAACACTGCGTGGGAACTAAAATACTATATAAGAGGCCTTCAAATAAAAATATTTAAAAACCTGTGATTAAAATATACAAGTTTATGAATTGTTTGGCAAACTTAAAATAATTTGCATCTCAATTGACACTGAGACTTGTAGATCCTGTAACTGAAATCTACACTTACTTAGATATGTTTTGTTGGCAGCCATTTTTGGGGAACTATCTTCTTCAAAGCTCTGGACCTTAGACAAAAAAGAAACAAACACTTAAAATTCAGGCCTGGTTTTCTCTCGAGCTCTTGACTGCTGCATTTTTAAAGCATTGACACATTTTCTAAGACAGTTCATAAATAATTAAACATAGTTACAAACGGTACAGAAAAACAGTGGCATTTTGTTCACAGCGCACTGCTGAGGACATCTTACATCGTAAATGATGCATCATTCATGTGAGACATTAGACCAAGGCTCTGTCTGCCTAACCAGCTGGATGCAAAATATTGTGCTGCACAACTCAAAAGACCAAGGGGTCTTCCACCTCCTATTCGAACCGATTACATTTCTAACACAAACATCCAAACGCAGATAGACTGATTATTAGTTAATTTATGGTTTGTGCAATCATGCTCTGCAAAGAGTGACTGCTGGACTTATCTCCCTAACAAATGCCTGCATGTGAAATTTTAACTGACTGGTTGCAAATCACGATGGGGTTGATGTGCTTCAAAATGAAAATATGAGGGCTTGAGTTTTCATCCGCTATCTTTTTTCCAATTATTTCAATCTGTCAGATAGTCGTATGGGCTCAAGGATGACTTGCTCACACTCTGGTTGGATGGGTTAGTAAATGGCTGGTCAGTCAATGCACAGACAATGCAGACTCTGTCACGTGTGGAGAAGGTTGTGTTTGAAGTGATGGTTGGATATGTCGTTTGGGGTTGCGTGCAACTCCCTCCGATGCCTTCACTTCAGATTGTGGGCGATAGTTTCTCAAATGTAAGCAATCACTTCCCAAAACAGCCTTCTCTATCTGGTCAGTCACAAGTCGGGCATATGATGTGGAGGAAAGAGGCACAGAAAATACTGGAGAAACTCAACGGGTCTGGCAGCAACTATGGAAAGGGGAACCGAGTTAATATTTGAGCCCGACAGGACATTTTGCAGTTCTGAACTATTGGACTATCACGTTTTTTTCTACATATTTAGCCAGACCAGCTGAGTTTCTCCAGCATTTTCTGTTTTTTTTTAGATCTCCAGCATATGCAATACTTCGCTTCTATGTGAGTTGAAAAGATATATTTTGACCTTTGTTTGGATGTTTGGTGGACTTCCCTGAAACATTATGCTAGTCAGTAGCTAAATCACTCTTGTTATAACAAATCTGAACCATTTATCTTGTTTTTTTTATATTCATTTTTTAAAAAATTTCACCTGTTTTTCTAATCAACCTGTTCAGAGATGTTATTGCACACCTCTGGAGCAGGTGACATCATCATGATGTTAGCGAATAGAGCTCCTGAACCAGGGCTCGTCCGCTCTGACTGCTTTTCTTTCCTTGCTTTTCTTTGTTTTTCCCTTTCCTCGATTTTTTTTCTTCTCTTTTCCTTCACTTCCCTCCTGTCCTGAGCTCGGATCCCAGCGCGGACCTCGTGGCAGCTTCGAGTGAGCCAAGGTGAGCTCAAGTGAGCACTTACTTGCTTTTCCGAGGTGAGCGTGGGACCTGGTATTGGAATCAGTGGCTGCTGCATTGGCAGAGGTGACATCAACGAGGTAGGCCCGGTGGCAAAAGATGGCACCTGAGGATTGGCGATTTTGTCGTCGGTTGGGTCCAGTACTGGCAGCGATGGAAGGGCGCCACGGCAACATCGAGGAGGTGAGAGACGTGACTCTGGCGCTGGTGGCTCCAGTGGCAGGCAGTGGTGAGGTGATGGTAGAGGAGTATCAGCCCAACGGCCGAAGGTGGAGCCTGGATCCAGTGCTGGTGACGAGATTGAAGGGCATCATGGTGACATCGACGAGGTGAGCCAGTTGTGAGAGATGTGTCTCTGATGTTGGTGGTCTGGCTCAGGCAGCGGTGGGAGGAGAATTGGTCCAGCCGTGAAATGTGGCACCTGAAGAATGGCGACTTCAATGTTGGTTGGGTCGGTGTAGATGGCGGTGAGGCGATGGAGGAGGGATGGCGGTGCAAGCGTTGTCGATGATGAGCTGGCTTAAGGCTGAAGGTCTCTCTTTCAGCTATATCTTTCTTTTCTTTTTCTTATTCTTCAACAATTCAAAATTACACTGGATCACGGCAATAGTGGAAAAGCTTTTCACTGTATTTTACTGTTTATCTCACTGTAAAATACATATGACAATGAAACCATTCATATTCAGGTGGGTCATGAATCCAGGCCTCCTGGTTCAGGGGTAGGGACACTACCACCACACAACAAGAGGGCCCCTTCATAGGTTGTGGGCATTTCTGGTTGGGCCAATATTTATTGCCCATCCTTTAAAGCCCTTGAACTGAGTGACTTGCTCGACTGTTTCAGAGGGTGTTTACAAGTCAATTACATTGCTAAGGGTTGGAGTCACACATTGGCCAAACTGGGTAAGAGAGATTTCCTTCTCTAAAGGTCAACAGTGAACCAGATGGACATTTACAACAATAAACACGGTTACATGGCCATCATTAGGACTAACTTTGAATTACAGATTTTCGTTGAATTTAAATTTCACCATCTCCCACAGCCTCTTCTTAAATATCACATCAAACTTAATCCTGCTTTACTGTGACAAAAGTAGGATTGTCCATACAAATGGTTACCATTTAGGACAGAAGTATCAAAATGTAGAATTTTACAAACAAAGAAAGATTTTCACTTACACATTTTATATTTTATAGCTAATGAAGTATTTCGAAGTGTATTCACTGTCAAACTCTTGGAAACTGTGCAGGCAATACAGAAACATACAAAATACAATCCAGAAACAGACCAATTTTCCTACTGGCCCTCTGCTTCACTTTATTTAATTCACTCTGTCCAGATACCCTATTATTCCAGCTTTTCATATACTTAAAAAAACACCCAAGCTATGTGATTCTATTCTATTAGAGAGTGGGAGTTTGACATTTTCAACACGGTCTGAGAACAAGTGTCTGAATTGGATCTGTTTTGTGTCTAATTTTTATTTTTGCCCTCTAGGCTTGGAGTCATCCACAAATAGAATCATTTTTTTTTCTGTGATAACAAAGTGTGGAGCTGGATGAACACAGCAGGCCACGCAGCATCAGAGGAGCAGGAAAGTTGACGTTTTGGGTCGGGACCCTCTGATGCTGTCTGGCCTGCTGTGTTCATCCAGCTCCACACATTGTTATCCCTGACTCCAGCATCTGCAGTTCTTGCTATCTCATTTTTTCTGTGACTAGCTTTCCACAATTTTAAAGAACTATCAAGGCCACCCACAGTTAAACAAGATCATGGCTGATCTGATAGATCCTAACACCACTTTCCTGCCTTTTCGTGTCATCCTTTGTTCCCTTACTGATTAAAAATCTGTCTATCTTAGCTTTGAATCTATTTCTTTACACTTTCTCTAGTGCTTTTACATCGAGATTAATATGGAGATCAGCCTCGTGCATGATTCTGCATAAGTTTAACAAAAACTCTTATGTTTTTGAATTCTTTTTGTCTAGAAATGAACCTGTCCCACATTTTCATGACTTTGCTAGGCTTGATAACTTGTGCATCATTACCTCTAGATCCCTTGGAACTTCTACCCCATTTAGACATATTATGATAAAGATGATACAATAGTAGCTGATTATCATTATTGATGTGTTTTACTTAGCTCATAATTATACTAACTAATCTCTTCCTTGAATGGAATTTTACAAAGAAACATTTTCACTTATACGATTAATGTTTTACAAACTATAAAGTTATTCAAAGTGTAGTCACTGTCAATTACGGAAACACCACAGTCAAAAAAGTTTCTATTTCTGTCTTAAAGTCGTAAAGTCCTTTATTGTCCTGGCATTATGTCATCTCTATTCAGCATACAGACCCCACCACTCCCATCTTTTTATGTACTATCCTTTCTGGATAGTTTATAACTAATGTTTAACTGTCAGTCTTGTTCTTTATGCAGTCATGTTTTCGACCTGGGCACTTTACATTCAGCATGCATTCTAACTGGGAGGCTGAGCCAACACAGTGTGGAGCTGGAGGAACACAGCAGGTCAGGCAGCATCAGAAGAACAGGAAAGTCGATGTTTCAGGTTTGATGAAGGGTGTAAACCCGAAACGTCAACTTTCCTGCTCCTCTGATGCTGCCTGACCTGCTGTGTTCATCCAGCTCCAAACTGTATTGACTCGGGCTCCAGCATCGGCAGTTCTTTATCTCTGACTAACTAAGAGTCCGCTGCTCCTATATTGAGTTTTCAACTCCTGCTCTCCCTCTACACCTGGTTTGGCCATTGAAAAAGTGAATGAAAATGCTGGATTTTGATAGACAGGGGCGAGAAAGTGCGCTGTTTTGAATTAGATATGAAATATTTAGTATACTATTCAATATTCAACATTTCCTTCCCCTGGAGCTGGGAGCTAAGATTTCTGAGAGTGTCATCAAGATTAAATCACTGAGTGCTGAAAATAGATACAGGGATCACAGCATGAAATTAACCCACAACCTTTCACTGTGGAGCAGGTAGCACAGTAATTTGTGCCATCTTCTGCTTCATATTATCACTGCATGCAACCAGCTCCAACCATACTAATCATTGGTGCATGCATTAGCTAAGGACCTGGGTGGAAAATTATAGGGGGGCAGACAGCTTGCTGCCCTGGAAGAAAAGAATCAGCCAGCTGGGTCACATGGGAGAAGCTCACTACACAGCTCTTCATGGCTGAATAAGCTGATCAACCAACAGCTCTAACAGTCTGAGTAGCACCAGAGCACTACTGCAGGCACTTTCGAGACTGTAGGTGATCCCAAGCATTCCAGATCTACACTAAGTCCAAGGACTTTGCGTGGGGATTTTTGTTTACAAGGAAAAGGGTGAGGGGTTGGATGGTCTGTGTTATAAAGTGTGGGTATGAGAAGTGGTAGGTGCCGTCTTTTCAAGGGGTCTATCCAATAGGGAAGGGGCACTCTCAAATGATTAAACTCCTGTTTCTTCCTGTCATTATACACAATTTATATCAAAAAATTGTCAATCTCACTCTTGCCCCACTGCTCAGGCCAACCAAATTATTGAA